GAGAAAGTATTTCTCGGAAATTTCTTCTTTAACTGCTCCTATTACTGCGCGCTCTTCTCCTTCGATCTCGGACCGTTGGCGGAGACCGAAGAAGAACGGCGCGCGATAGTATGGAGCATCCAAAGGAGAAATTCCCGAAAAATATTTCCCCTGGAGCCGCACGATATGGTGCTCCCTACTGTACATGCTGTTATATTAGCTCCTTCCATACGTTGCTACGGGCTACGGGTAACATTGTGAGCGCACGAAGCAAGCCGGGCTGTCTGCACTAGACCCTTGCGCCGCCGTGTTACGCCGCCGCCGCCGACAAATTAGCATCCGCCGAAAGAAAAAATTTTCGGCGAATCCGCCGCCGCCGCCGCCGAAAATTAATATGGCACGCCGAAAAAAAGTAAAATGCTATATGTGTTTTATATATATTGGTTGAAGTGTATTAAGACCGAAGCACAGACTTTTGCATAACGCATAACGCATAAGACATAAGAAAATCAACCAATCCAGCCTTCTATTTTCATCCCTACTTTTTGTTCTAGAAGGCATCGATTGATTGATTTTTTTATGTCTTATGTTTTTCTTCGCCGAAAGGGTCTTCTACAATGAGATATTAAGGGCCTTCTACAATAAGATATTAGTAATAAATCAGAAGTCAGAAACAAGAAATTGACTAAACACAATCGATTATTCTTCTGTGATTTGACTGTGATTGGTCGATTTCTTGCTTCTGACTTATGATTTATTACTAATAGTGTAGAAGCCTCTTTAGTAATAAATCAGGGCTGTGTTTAGTCAAGCAAGAGGGTACGAATAAACGCAGAAAATGCAGAAAATATAGAAATATAAAATGCAGGAATAGCAGGAATTGAAAGAAGTTGAGAAACATATATGTAATATTCCTATATTGCTAGTACGGTGCCGACCTGAAGCTCACCGTTACGGTGCAGACAATATAGTAGCCTCTCTCTCCAGCTGCTTTGTGCGCATGCGGTGAACATTCAAGCACGCTTGCGCATTTCTCTTTCTCGCGTTCTTTCTCTCACTTTCCAATGTTTTGTCTCGCTCGCACTCACTTGGTAGATGCACCTGCGCATAATGACGCTCGACCATCTATGCCCATATTTGGACTTCGTGCGTCTCCCTTTCTCGGACCTCATGCCTCTCATTGCGAAGATACGCGACTAGCAATATAGGAGTATTACATATATGTTGAGAAAGTACAGACAACACTGGTTTCTACTGCGCATGCTCAGCAACACATCAGAGTGCCATCATCTCATTTCTTCTTTTGCACTTTCTCGACTTCTTTTAATTCCTACTATTCTTGTATTTCAATTTCTGTATTTCTTGCATTTCCTGCGTTTGTTCGTTCCATCTTGCTTAACTGGACACAGCCCAGAAGTCAGAAGCAAGAAATTGACCATCACAGTCAAATCACAGAAGAATAATCGATTGTGATTGGTCAATTTCTTGCTTCTGACTTCTGATTTATTACTAATATCATTGTAGAAGGCCCTTACAGCCTTACTACCTTCATTGTAGATTGACTATAAAGAGCCGTCTACAATGGAGAGTTGTAGGCCGTAACAGTAAGAAATTGACAAATCACAATCGATTATTCTTCTGTACTTTGTCTGTGATTGGTCAATTTCTTACTATTACGGCCTACAACTCTCCATTGTAGATGGCTCTTAAGGCTGCCCTTACATGCGGTGTAACTTGCGTAAGCGTAACTTGCGGTAGCCAATTATATCATCTCAGCGTATTTGCGTATGATAGCTGAGACAATATAATTGGCTACCGCAAATTACGCTTACGCTAGTTACGCCGCATGTAATGGCTAGTCTACAATAAGAGTAGGTAGTATAGAGTAAGAAGTAAGGTTCTTGGAGTTCTTTTATTTTTGTCTATACAAGTAATTATTTCGCGTTTTTTAACACACGTCTTTCATTGGCTAACAGTAAAGCAGTAGGTAATGCAAAATGGGAATTGCTCATTTCGTAATTTCCGTTGTTTCTTTATCGAAAAATAGTTTACTCTCTACTCTTACAGCCTTATTACCTTAATTGTAGACTTGCCATAAAGGCAGCTTAAAGGCCATTTTACATAAGACGCAGACACAAGTCGCAGGCCGCTGATTTCGCGGAATTGACCATTCATGTTTGTCAAATCAGCCAATTGATTTACGTGATTGGTCAATTCTGCGAGATCAGCGACCTGCGACCTGCGTCTGCGTTTTACGTAAATAGATTAATACCTACAATCAGAGAGAAGCCTGAGAGCGGCTACGGCCATAAGAGTCTCTGTTATAGCTTTTTATGGACATGGTTCTATTCCTTGCTAAGTTTGTGGACATGCTTTTATTCCGTGCTATGAGAACACCGACGTGGAGATACGCACACAAGCGAGACCGTTGTCCGTGTGCACTCGTGGAAATGTGCAGACATATTATGTTGATGTATGACGACGGTTCTCGCTTGTGTGCGTATCCCCACCACGTCGGTGTTTTCATAGCACGGAATAGAACCATGTCCACAAACTTATCACGGAATAGAACCATGTTCACGAAAAGCTATAAAACCTGTTCTACAATACAGTCGTAAGCTGTAAGTCGTAAGAAATTGACCAATCACAGACTAATCACAAAAGAATGATCGATTGTGATTGGTCAATTTCTTACGACTTACAGCTTACGACTGTATTGTTGCGACCGACAATGAATAGGGAGCAGATAAAATTATTACAGGAGATCCAGGGGTTGCAGAGACGCGCCTTAAGGTCGGACGCCGACAGCAGCGACACAAGCGAGCAACAGGAGAACGGCGAGCGAGAGGCAATGCAGGCGCAGGCGCAACTAGAAGCCATAATGGCGTACATTCGGGAGCATAGTGTGCAGCCAGAGGGAACCTCGGAATGTACCACCATTGATCATTATGATCCATGGTGGGAAAACAAGGAGGACTAAGATAGGAGAGGAAAAAAGAAAACAACAACAAAGAAAAATTATAAACAAATAAAGCTGGTGATGGGATCAAATAGATTTAGATAAAAAGGTGATGGACTTTAGGGAATTATTATTTGAATTGTAATTGTTTATTTACAAGGAATAAAAATAAGCGCATAACAAATGTTATTATGATTGTACACGTGACGAGGGTTCTGTTTGGAAATTAGGAAATTATTTTGCTTTAATATGGTCACGAGCATTACTATTAATGTTATTATTATTATTATTATTATTATTATTATTATTAGGATTATTGTTAGTATTATTAGTGTTATTATTATGATTATTATTATTATTACCATCATTATCATTACTATTATTATGATTAGGATGATTATTATTGTGATTATTATTATTATTATGATTCTTATTATTATTATTATTATTACTATGATTACTATAATGAATAGTATTAGGAGTTACGATTACTAGGCGCTTCGCGAAGATTCCACGCCATTACATAAATTCGGTGATTATGATTATTATTATCGGCACCGCGACAAGACAAGAACCTGCCCGAAAATTCTAGAAGGCGAACAAGATGCGAAAGGAACAACAACAAAGATCCCCGGGGAAGTCCAGAAGGTTCCAATACGGGCAAACACTCGAAAGAACGAGAAAATGGCTGGAGTGAGGAAGCCTAAGGATAAAAGGCCAGGCCCGACGCAAGGGAGAGGGAAAGTCGTCGCAGGACAGCCGAGAGTAGCGAAAGCGAAGGAAAAGAACCGTGTAACGGGAATCGAGGTACCATCGCGATAATTCCCGAGTCGTAAGATTTGTAAAATAACGACTTGTAACATTATTCAATAAATAGTAAAGAGCGCTATTAACCACCGGGCAAGAAAGCGAAAATTTTGTTAGTGCGTGAAAGTGCGTAACAAAGGCCAAGAAAGTGGTGTAAATAGTTGTTCTGTAATTTAAGAAATAAAGAAATTGTTTAAACGGAAGTGATCTGGTGGTCAATCGATTTCCTATCCGGAATTAGCGCAGTTGTCCAAACAGTGCCGGATGATTGGCCGAGGCAGCGCGTCGAAACGGAAANGAAATTAAGACACCGGAGGCACGAGTGGCTGTGAATCACCATTAAGGCGGAGACGTCCATTGGGCAGCCGACGAATCAGCGACAATCTCGCCGCGTCCGGACGAGGTAGCCGATTCGTCAGATTATTATCAACCGAACTAAGGTATTATTGACCTGAGGTTCAAGGTAAGTATCCATGTATCACATTAATACGAGCTGATAATAGGATTCAAACAATCGACAGTCGAAAAGGCGAGTCGCATCGTGAAAGAATTCAAGCAAAAAGTTGAAAGTGGTGATAGTGAAAAGCGGTACGTAATTAAGCATATTCAATTAACATTAAAAACCTTGTCGGTGAAAGGGAATAAACCGTCTGGCGACCGTGAAAAAGATAGGACAGTGAGGTAGGAAGTGCAGCAGCATACGAGCGGAAAGTGCAGTTCCGGTCACATTGTAGAACAGGCCTAACAGAAACTCTTAAGCCTGTTCTACATTGATCGCAAGCGCAAACGCAAGGAACAGGTCTGGTAGAATTGACTAATCGTATTGATCAAATCAGCCAATTGACCAGCGTGATTGGTCAATTCTATGAGATCTATACCTTGCGTTTGCGCTTGCGATCAATGTAGAACGAGCTTTATGGCCGTGGCCGCTCTCAGGCTTCTCTTTGCTACAATCTAGACCCTTGCGCCGCCGTGTTACGCCGCCGCCGCCGATAAATTATCATCCGCCGATTCCGCCGCCGCTGAAAGAGAAAATTTTCGGCGAATCCGCCGCCACCACACTAATTTACCTCAAACGCCGCCGCCGATATAAAATAAAACGGCGCATGGGTCTAGTCTGCACGCTCTTTCGCAGATATTTATTAACCGACAAGATCTCGGTAATTATTACAAATCTCGCAAAGTGGTAAGAGACTTTTTGACTCAATATAACCCTCTCTACCTGCCCACGAGAGATTGTACAGCAATAACGGGACACCTTGTATACCGATGTATTTAAAAAAAAACATAGCCGCACAGTTAATTGCAGCTAACAAATACATTCGCGCATCTCCTCAAGTACATTATCAGAAAAGTAAAAGTATGTGGCATCTTATGTAAAAATCATTAAATTATCATAAATTATTATGATAAATTCCATAACTTAATTTGTAAAGTATATGTTGTATATCTTTGCACTTTCTTTTTCGACCTACAATCGATTTTTATTCCATTCTTGAATCGGCATTTCTTGCTATCATTCCTATATCGTGATGTCACTCATTCTTCTTACGTTCATCTTGTTGCATTTGCTCTTCTTAACGCTGTCCTTTTCTTCTTGCATTTGCGAAAATTTTGTTGCGCTCTTTAAACTCTTTTCGTTATTTTTATCGATGTTTTTAATCTACTACCACCTTTCTCGAATGCTTCCGGATGTTTTCTCGTTTTTCTTCCTCGCGACATTGTTGTCATTGAACACGCACGTTTTCCTCCGTCTCGACACATTTTTCAGGAACTTATTCATTATAATTCTGTCGGAAGCGTACTCGACTTCATTTTGCCACTCGTTCTTCTCTTTGCTCGCCAAGAAACAAGAGAGAAAGAATTCTTATTTCTGTTTTTCTTGAAAATCAAATTTCTATATTTTATCATAAAATTAGTTCTAAATAAATTTGCACAATTCTTGCTGCGTCCGATTTAAGCATTCTCCACAGAGATATCTTCTTCTTCTTCCTGCCAATCGATCTCTTCGAGATTGGAGCTCGTTAAGTGCTCAAAGCTGACGAATCTCTCAAAACTTCCGGAATAATTTAAATTTGCTAGTTGATCAAAACTTGCTGAACGACTGAAATACAGTTCAAAAGTTGACCGTTTTTCCATGTTAATTTGATTTCTTGATTTTTCACTATCAGAAGTGGACATTTCTGAGAAAATCGATCTCAATCGGATCCTCCTGCAGTTCGGAATTTTCTTGCCATCGATTCTTCTGTTCTTTTTAATTCCACCAAAAGTCTGAAACTTTAATTCTGCAAATTCCGGAAGATGCTTAATAAGTTGATCTCCCGACGCCAACTCGTCCTCAAAATCGTCCACATTTTTCGTCTGCGTCGATCAGATTCTGATGCCGCCGAATGTGTTATATTTATATCCTCCTATAGTCCAGAATTTTTTGCCGATTGACGATATTTGCTTGTTGCCATAAGAATCGGTTTCTTCTATCTGATACAATTGCCGCCAACGTTTTTGATCGCTGTTTTCCAAATATCGCGAGCTAATCGAATACATTCCAGAATTTTCATCACCTAGACTGCGATTGCCTAGTAACTCCACTTGGTTATCATATCGCGGAACTATCTGTTTTTTGGCTTTGTGATCGACACTTTCGTCATCCGAAAGTCGATTCCAATCGGTCGACATTAATTTCCGTATTTTCGTGCCGATTTTCACACTTTTCAACAAAACATAATTATCTTCTATCTCTTCAAAGATTGTTCCTATATTCAATTCAATAGAAATTTCGGACTTTCGATCTTTTGTCGCGTCTTCAATTACGTTTGCAGTAAGACTCCTGACTTGCTCCATGTCGTTGTCATTTTCGCAGCGCGATTGAGCAATTGCGGTCGTTTGCGCGGGCTTCAGGTACAGTAGAGGATTGATCGCAAAGTGTGCACTGGCGCATGGATCGCGACAGCATTGCCGAGAAAGACTGCCACGCAGCGATGCGCTTTCGAATCGCTTAAGCTCGTGATGACTCACCTGTTGTTCGTGTTGCTGCTCATCGCTTGACCATTGGGACAGTGAGATGTTTGGTCTACTCGACACCGAGGACGTTGCCAATTTGGCCCACTCCTCTCGTTCTTTGCTAGCCGACTTGGACTGATTGATGTAGTAATCTCTTTCAAATCTATAATTAAAATGGAAAAAAATATATGTATGTCATTTAAGAAAATTATCTTCACAAATTCTTGACTGAGATTTCTTATGTTTATGTGTTTCACTTGATTGATTATTATTATATTATTGAAACAATTAATTGTACCGTTTGATGTCCAAACGCTCGGGTAGCAGAAGTGCGTCCAAATTCACCTCGTTCAGCTTTGTTAATTTATAATGGACACTGAATAAAGCAAAAAATCAAAAGTTGAAAGCTTGAATAAGATATTCTCGAGGTGTTTCACATGATTCTTACCTCGGAATTTCGGAATTTCTCGAATACTGCCGTTCTAAACATCGCTTTCGAATGCTCTCCTCGCTGTAAGGATTATTTTCAATCGGTGGCGCATTTTCCCACTTTTTGTGCTCGCGTTCCGCTATCGTCCCTGTTTGAATAGATTCATTAATACATACATGATACAAATATGTTCATTTAGATATGTTTGCGATACAGATATGTTTATTACGATACATGAGAATTTCATTATATTTTGCAAAATTTACGAACGTAATCAATTTGCGCAACGTTTGTAGATATACATATTTTGTATAAATAATAGTGCGTCAGAAAATTCGATAAAAAAAACGTTCGACTACATCTTTTTATCTTAGAGATAAATATTATTACAAAAATTACCTGGTCGTGGTGGAGTGCTTAATTGATCGTTTTCAGATTTTATATGATTCTCCTTGATTGTTGCATAAGATAATTGGATATGGGCTTTCGAGTATTTGCTGTCGATAAATATTGAAAAAAAACTTACAAAAGATGCTTTTACATGTCGTGTTACAAAACGATAGAAAGAATTATAGCAAATGATATATAAATAAATTATGTAGCATAAAATACGAAAGAGTAATGGCAAATTTTGCCCATTTTTTGGACTTCGAATTTCAAACTTTTTTTCATGGCAAATAGTACTAGTAAACGAAACATTAATTCCCGTAAAATTTCAAAATGAGCATAGGCATGGTTCCGAAGATACAAGGAGATGAAAGTGATGATTTTCAGTCAAGGTGTATTGCATAAGGAAGAATGCGTGACTGAAGTTTATGTAATATTGAGGGTATATTCTGTCGAATAGATTCATTGTTCAGAGATTGATCTACTATTTACCGTTATTTCATTTATGAGGGTGGGGAGTGGCTTATAAAGATAAACTCCTGAAAATACATTCCCTATTAATCACTAACCAAGTCTTTGAAGCAATTCAATTACCGAGGAAATACTCAAATTGAAAGAATCTCGCTACATGATGCATTCACAAGTTCTTTCGCAATTGAACTTTACTATCATATGAAGTAGATTCCATGATGGGAATTAATTAGCAGGGGAATAATGAGCCATGGCAGGATGTTGTGCCGTAGAAAAAAAAAAGCATACCTAATTCACCATTCTCAGTAACTAACAGTTTTCATTTATACAATACAATCACTGGAATGGAGTTGGACAAAACTTATACCATTTGCTCATTAGACGTAATATCTATGTTCACAAATATACCCATTGAACTTGCTCTAGACAGCATAGCAAATAGATGGAGATTCATTAAATTGAATACAAAAATTAATAAACAAGAATTTATAATGNCCGTCCAGTTTGTTTTGTCTTCAACATATTTTACATTCAACAACCAGATTTATAAGCAGACTTTTGGCACCCCCATGGGTTCACCAAAGTCGCCTATCATTGCTGACATCACCCTGCAAGATTTAGAACTTAAAGCATTAGACACATTGAAATTTAATATACCACTTTATTACAGATATGTTGACGACATAATAATTTCTATACCGAAAGACAAATTGGACGAAGTAATGAGCACGTTCAACTCCATTAACGATAGATTACAGTTCACAATCGAATCACAAATAAACAATGTTCTCAATTTTCTCGAAGTTAGCATTATAATAAATAAAAATAATTTGGTTTGTAACTGGTATCACAAACAAACTTTTTCTGGTAGATATGTTAATTATTATTCACACAATCCAATCAATCAAAAAATAACAACAATTTATTCATTAGTTGATAGAGCAATATTACTGTCACATCCAAAGTTCCACAAACAGAATCTACAACAATGGTATTAACATTTTAATTAACAATAATTATCCCATACAACTAATTTTCGAGAAAATAAATAAAAGACTGAGAACGTTGTTTTTAACTAAACTAAACAATCACAAGATAAACAATACCGATACAAATGATAACAACATAGAAAAACTGTTTTATTTTGTCATGCCATTTATAGACAATAACAATAAATTCAAAATTAATAACACGACATTCAAACCAGCCTACAGAAATTTAAACCAATTGTCTAAGTTCATAAAAACCCACAAAGACATTATACCCCAACAAAAGAATAAAAATGTTGTATATCGCATCGCATGTGAGCAATGCGATGCAAGCTACGTTGGACAAACAAAAAGACAATTATTCACTCGACTTAACAAACACTATAATTATATTAAGAAAGAACAAACAGAAACTTCCGTCTTAGCAAAACATGTAATAGAAACGGGGCATAAATTTAATTTTGAATTAACAAGAATACTAGACAATGAAAAAAATTATTTTAAAAGATTAACTTCAGAAATGATATATGTAAAAAAGCAGAAGAAGAGTTTGAATCTAATGAAAGACACAGAACTATTAAATGATATATATTTACCGATCATATATATTGATAAATGTGAATACTAACACACTCATAGATGGAGCGTTGTCGCATTTCCGATTCAAACTCCTTAGTCTGTTACAAAATACACGACAAACATGACTCATTTATTTTCTGTAATTGTTTAAGTGTTTTGAATTTTGTAATGTTGAGTTATACTGACAAATTTGACAACTCTATAATTAACGGTATGTTGTAATTGTTAATCCAGTATTATATAACTGATTGTAAAATAATTTAAGATTGTAAAATAATTTTAGATTGATAAGGACTTAAAAAATAAAGTCGAAACGTCTCAATTACATTTTTTAATTTTTCTACGGCACAACATCCTGCCATGACTCATTATTGCCCTGCTAATTAATTCTATTTATTGTAGTTACCAAAAGGAGCCGGAGGTCACACCTCATTTATCACTTATTTAGATTCCATGAATTTATCTATATACTATTTTAACTTAATCTATTCTATTCTATTTATTCTTATTTCTAATCTATTCTAATCTATTCTATTTTAACTTAATCTATTCTATTTTATTTAACTATTCTTGTTTCTTTGTTCTCCATTTTCTTGTTGATTGCTGAAGTGAGTTTCTTGTTACTTTTCTTTTGTTTTATCCCAATTTTTCCTACATTCTCTTCTCTTCAGATATATTTTTTTAATATCTTGACGATTGTTGATTCTTCAATAAAGCAATGCCTTTTACTAAATGTTTAGGCTGTAATGATAAAAAAAGATCGAAGAATGATAAGTCTTTTCCCAATCTGTGAGAGGCAAGGGGACTTATATTAAAAAAGCACCTCAATCTGTAAGAAACAAGGTGACTCACAGTAGAAAAGCATTCAGATCCGTGAGAGGCGGTGTCAAGTGTCATTTCAACTCCATCTATCTCGGAGAATTTTCATGCTAGTCGAAAACTAAAATTATATTTGAATCTGGCGTAAAACAATCCATAAAAAACAATATGTTTCACTTTGTTATATATATATATTTTATTTTTTAATATGGACACTTAAAAAGTTTCGTGTACTTTCATGGATTATAAAAAACTACTATTTTCACTTCTTCATATCTCCGGAACCGTGCTTATCTTAAAATTTCTCTGAGATTAATGTTCCATCATATAGTGTTATTCGGCATAAAAAAAAGTTTGAAATTCGAGGTCCAAAAAATGAACAAAAGAACAGGTCTTTTTGCCATCACTCTTTATGTAATGCCGAGTGAGTAAAACAAACTATCGAAGAAACAAACTATCATTTTTATCTCTTATTATTGATTTTGATGTCCGAGCAAAGTCTTTATTCATTTACTTGAAAATTATACATAGACAAAAATAAAAAATTGAAGTTTCAAAATTAGATCAGAAAACAGAAACTTTAATATATATAAAATTCAATATATTTTTAATAAAAGTAATTTACAGAATTCTTACGGCTCTTTCACGGTTAAATTGTTTTCCTCGTTTTCTGGTTTGCCGTGCTGCGTGCATGCGATTTGTTTTGTATTGTCAGATGTTTCGCTCTTTTCAGAGCAAATCTCGACTTTCGTCAAACTGTCCAAGTGCCTCTGGATTGCCGTGTCGTAGTGCTCAGTGTATTCGCTTTCTCGCTGCTCTTCGTTTTCTTCCATGATATTTTCCATTCGATCGTTCTTCTCGCTTAAGTTTTCAAAATCTATATTTTTTACGTCATTCACGGAACTTTTGATCTCGATTGTTTTTGTATCGCATTCCGTATCTTTAAACTTCTCTTTGGCTTTTTCTTCTTTTACTATAGTTATCAATAAAGAACCTTTGTTTCGTTTTCTTTCGTTCTCCTCATCTTTAACTGTTTTCTCTTCCAAGATTTCTAATGTTTTATCCTTGTCGTCTTTCTTTCTCTTCTCACAGACACTTTCGATCTTTTCTATGTTTGTATTCGTATGACAAGTAACAACTTCCTTATCAAATTGAGTTTCAATACTTGGTACTTCCTGATTTACTTCCGCGTTACATTCGGAAGTCTCGGGAATCTTAGGAATTACGTTGTTAATCGCCTCCAGGAGTTCCTTCTCGATCTCCTCGTCGGATCTCGTGGATGAACATTCGGACAAGTCGGACGTATCTTCGGCATCTCTATCGCCAATCAGCGCTTTGTAATCCGCACTAGAACTTGGCACCAACATAATTACCGGATCCGATTGCGATTCGGAAGTTCTTTTTTTCTGGAACAACCAATTGTCCTTCCAGGATTCGACAGACAAGACCAAATTCATCGTGTGATCAGCAACACGTCTCGTTTTGATCCGCGAATAGTTGTCTAAAGATTCAGATGACGATGACGGCGAAGACGAGTTTTGCGGAGCTATTTCGAATGTCGAAAAATATTTCATGAACAATTATTTTATCATTTTTTAATAGAAATTATCACTTGTTTTATAAAAATTTTTTTCCATACTTATTTCAATTTTACGACTTTTTTGTGTGTAAATCAATTAACTTTAATTATATAAGTGATTTCTTGTGTGTATAGTATTTGAACATGTAAATAATTTTTGCCTGTGAAAAAGTCAAAGTACTCACGGTCAATGATATCCATTCCGAATTCCGGAAACGGAACACATTGAGTACATCCAAATTCGTTGTTACCTCGAAGTTTATTGTCTGACGTAATCGTGGTCACCTCTTCTATTCGTTCCTCTATCTACGAGTAAAATTTAATTCTGATATTTTTAATATCTTAATGTACGCAATTTACGCAAGAATACGTTATCGCTGTAATTGGCGTACCATAAAAGACATAAAGTCGCAATCATCTTTGTTTTTTCCGGCCATTAAAGCGCCATTGTCGTTGCTGCACTCGAGATGGCAGAATGCGTGATTCGTTGCTTCTTCCTCAAAACTGTGCTCGGCTGAAGAAAAAAAACATTGTCATTATGAGTCTCGACATTCCGCGCACGATAATACTTCAACTTTACGCACTTGTGGTACATTTTGCCTTTGGCAAATCTATGTTACATAAAATGTTGCTGTTGCCGTCGACGCGCTGTTCTCTCTGACATTTCTCGATAATCTAAAACGCAGATGAATTTGTAATTATGTTTAATTGGAATGTATAGTGTGCATTTCAAGGTAGTACTTGCACGAAATGATTTTCTTAAATGTTATACTATTGTCTGTGTCTAAAAAAGCTAGCGTAAATGAGCGTGGGTAAGCTGGAGGTGGCAGATCTGTGTGTGGGGCAGTTATGCAGATATATATATATATATACATATAAAAGCCTGTATGTAACAGAACACACTTTTATTAATAAAGAGAAATATAAATTTATACGGTTGTTTAATATAACAACACACGTAAATATAACATGGTGTCAGAAGTGGTTCTCCGTGTCTAACAGAACAAGGATTCCACGAACAAACATACAGTGCAGAGCACCATATTGTGCACCGTGAGGAGAAATAGTTCTCTTTCGGCCGCCTCCTACTACCACGCGTCAGCGGCCCGAGATTTAATCCATATATCGGCACGGTTACCGATGATACATACCGACGCGGTTACCAATAATACCGACAGGCATATGTTATCATAAAACTATCGTGAACATCGAAAAGATTAACTCTACATTGAAAGTGACTTCAATAATTTATATCAAATATTTATTTATTTAATTATTACGTGGTATAATTTTACGTGATATAAGAAACTTACTTACGGTAAGTGTAAGAAAATAAAATATATTTAAGTAAGAGAGTAAAAAACCATGACAATAGATACATGTCATAGTGATTATTAAAATATTTTTAAACATTATTTAAATATTAAGAATAAAAATTCAAACACTATACTAGATTTGTATAATTAGCGTTAAATTTTCTTTAAAACATCAAAAATAAAAACTAGTAAGGCATATTATAATGTTTATATATAAATATATAATATATACATATATAATATATACATATATAGTTGAATGTGTATTTAAAAATTTAACAAAATAATGATACTAACAAATAATGTGTGTGTGTATGAAAAGATAAGAAGAATGACACAAACAATTATTTTATATAATTTTGAAGCAGTTACGCTAGATTTTATTTTATAGGGTTGCGCTCACAAAACTGTTCTTCTGTCAAAGATATATTTATGATTCTGACAAAAAATGTTTAATGGTAATACTGGACTAATACGTAACAGCCAGCTTATTTTGTTTGATAACATGTTGCAATCTAGTATCAATTAAGCCGTTTGTTGAAAAATTTTGAATATTGCTTTGAAGCTCTTCATACTTAAAAGTATACTACCATGATAAAAAAATAACCGGAATTTTTAATTTAAACCTCGCGGGCTTATTGATTTAGAATTCTGTTGTTTGTGTCACGTTGGCAGCACTGTTACGGACACCCATGCCAAGCTTCTGCTTATCAGCTGTTCATTTACCTTTATGACAGTGATTTCTTTACATCAAGTTTTTACGTCGCGGCGATTTTTACAATGGATTCAAAACTTGAACAACGTTCCTGCATTAAATTTTGCTATAAAAATGAAATTAAGTATTCCGACACATTAAAAATGTTACAAAAGTGTTATGGTGACGATACTCTATCGAAAACACAGGTGTACCAGTGGTATGAACGCTTTAAAAGTGGTCGTGAGGCTGTTGAGGACGATGCTCGTCCTGGGAGGCCATCGACATCGAAAACTAATGAAAACGTCGATGAAATCCGACAATTGTTGATCGAAAATCGCAAATTGACGATAAGGGAGATAGCTGAGACCACCAACATATCATTCGGATCCGTTCAGAGCATTTTGCGTGAGGATTTGGGTCTGAGGCGAGTCACTGCGAGATTGGTGCCAAAAGAACTGAATTTCGTGCAACAATTCTCGTGAGTTTCTCGTCAAAAACAACACCAATACCATTCAACAACCGCCCAATTCACCTGATCTGGCACCATGTGACTTTTTCCTATTCGATCGACTCAAACCACTACGAGAAACTTGTTTTGAGAGTGTGGATGCAATAAAGCTAAAATCGCTGGAGGCATTAATGGCTATACCAAAAACCGACTTCCAGAAAAGCTTCGAGGGGTGGATCAAACGCTGGCACAAGTGCATCGCAGCCGACGGGGACTACTTTAAAGGGGACAACTTGAATTTTGAAGAATAAACATGTACTTTTCTTTTTATGAATAAATTCCGGTTATTTTTTGATCATGGTAGTATTATAGTCTTCTGGAAAATAGAGTATGTATTAAAATTGGAGCTGTCGCAAAGCCATTAAAATCGCGACAGGCGCGGCGCGCTTTGATCTTGCGCCACGAATACCGCAAAGAAAAATGATTACCGATAAAGATAAAAAATCGGTCAATACTAGACTGCAACAAGTCGACCAAAATGGTTATTGGGCCGACTATTAAGTCAAAGGTTTAGAAACGGTTATTTCCAGAATCCCACATTTATTTAACAAAAAGAATATCTCTCACGTTTATCGGAACTACGCTTAACGGCTCTTTTCAGAGCCACAAAAAATATTTTACAAAGTCACATTAAACGGTTCTTGTCAGAACTATAAATATATATTTTACAGAAGAACATTTCTGAGCGCAAACCTATAAAATAAAATCTCGCGTAACTGCTTCAAAATTATATAAAATAATTGTTTGTGTCATTCTTCTTATCTTTTCATACACACACACATTATTTGTTAGTATCATTATTTTGTTAAATTTTTAAATACACATACAAAACTATATATGTATATATTATATATTTATATATAAACATTATAATATTGCCTTACTAGTTTTTATTTTTGATGTTTTAAAGAAAATTTAACGCTAATTATACAAATTAATTAATAGGCCGATACGAGCACTAAAATACAGGATGACAGCGTATAAACAAAAGTCTTTATTCAAAAAAGACAAAAAAACAAACGTTTCAGTCCACAATTTTGGACCTTCCTCAGTGTAATAATTGTTACATCTAACCTAATTATACAAATCTAGTATAGTGTTTGATTTTTTATTCTTAATATTTAAATAATGTTTAAAAATATTTTAATAATCACTATGACATGTATCTATTGTCATGGTTTTTTACTCTCTTACTTAAATATATTTTACTTTTTTACACTTACCGTAAGTAAGTTTCTTATATCACGTAAAATTATACCACGTAATAATTAAATAAATAAATATTTGATATAAATTATTGAAGTCACTTTCAATGTAGAGTTAATCTTTTCAATGTTTACAATAGTTTTATGATAACATATACCTATCGGTATTATTGGTAACCGCGTCGGTATGTATCATTGGTAACCGTGCCGATATATGGATTAAATCTCGGGCCGCTGACGCCTGGTAGTAGGAGGCGGCCGGAAGAGAACTACTTCTCCTTACGGTGCACGATATAGTGCTCCGTACTGTACATAAAACAGTGATTATACAGTTAATCAGGTTTGAGGTTAAGAGTCGAAGTCATGGAATCTCTAGCGCAATTATTAGAAATTCAGAATAAACAGATTGCGCAAATACAACAGGATTATCTCCAAGCGGCTGCTAACAATGCTGCGATCTTTGATACAATTGGAAAAAATTTCAGGGAACTAAACGATCAGCTGAAGCAAGCTAGACTATAATAAGTATCTAGTTTAGATGTAAGTAGTTTCCAAAGTTTCCGGAATTCACAAATCATACAAAGTATACCTTGGCCACAACCTCTAGTAGATGCGGGTGATATTACAGAAAATTTCGAACATTTTAAACACAAAGTTGGATTACATATTGTGCCGCAACAGATATTGATAAATGGGAGGATACTCAGAAAGTACAGAAAATTAACATTCTGTTATCAGTTATAGGTGATAAAGCTAAAAAGAAATAAAGTGAAGAAAAGAGGCGTGACCTCAGGTTCTCATTTAAAATTCAAGTGATTCAATAAACGGCCATAAAGAGCTCTCTTATAGAAATTTAAATTAGGTGTCTAAATTTATTAAAACACATAAAGATTTAGTACCTTCAAATAAACAAAGAAATGTTGTTTATTGCATTTCATGTCAACAATGCAATTCATCCTATGTTGGTCAAACCAAACATCAATTGAAAACTCGTATTAGTGAACATATAAATTGTGTTAAGAATGGACGAATTGATACATCGGTTATAGCAAAACACACAGTGTTGAGACTGGGCATAATTTTGGTTGGAAGTCAGTTAGAATTTTAGACATTGAACAGAACTATTTTAAACGACAAACATCTAAAATGTTATTTATTAAAAAACAAGTAAGTGGTTTGAATTTAATGAGAGACACTGAGTCTTTACATGACACATACATCCCTGTTCTTGATCAAGTTCAATTTTAAAATGTAGAGGGCCTCTTTTCACTTGTTGTTTTTGATGTTCTGTTCTTTGATTCAGTATCGATCTGATAGTTGTACAATAATGTCTGCACTCGATACTCGTCATGCTGATTGATAGACCGTTGACTACATTTATAATTTTTTTATTGTAATACATCATTCACTGATTTATTGGGTATGTCTATGTTTTTTGCTTGTTAATTGCATTGTTTAATTACAACATGAATTTGTTTATAAAGGTTATATGTTTTGTTAATTTCAATAGAATCGATTGAAAAGGACTTAAAATATAGTCGAAACGTCTCGAAACTGACAAGAGTCTAATTATTTCAAGCATAACACCCTGCACTGGCTCTTTATGGCCGTTTATTGAATCACTTAAAAAGAAATACTCCAACTTCCATCTCGCTGAAACCGATAAGACTAGCGTTGAGAATATATTCCACATAATCAAAAGAAGCCTGGTTTCTGATCGAAATTTGTTATATAACAGATATATCTTTCACACCTGCAACCAATCTGAAAATGAAAGTTTTAACGACTATTTTTTGAGACTAAAAAAAATCGTAGATGTCTGCAAGTACAACATAAATGTAACATCTGAGACGATGCTACGTAAATAGGTTATTTTTTGGAATAAAGGATACAAATCTAAAAAAGAAATTCTTACATGAAGATCCAGATAGCTCACACTAGAGAAATTAAGACTAGAATGTAAGACTAGTGAGCTTACTGAAAAAAGATTTAAGGTAATAAACTCTGAAGAAAAAACAGTCAATACGATTGAAACAAAGACCTACGATAACAATTGTTTGAGTAAATATGAATTTAAGAAAGAGCTTTGTCCGGCTTGAGGCAAAGTATGCTCGAGTTGCCAAGCAAAAAATCATTTTGCAAAAGCTTGTAGGAAAAGAGAAACAAATCGAGATACACTAACAAGAAGTAACAAAAAGAGTACCAATAAGGCAGTTAAGGAAATTAAGAAAACTTCGGAAAGTGAATCGAAAAGAGACGACGACGGTCACCTGAAGATCTATGAGATAAGTAAACACAGTAGTGACAGAAAAAAAGG